AAAATTGCAGACTGACTTCGAATTCATTTATTTTTGATTTGATGGTAGCCACAGTTTTTGTTTTAAAGCTAGTTACAACGTCTCCAACACAGCTAGCATCTAATTTATAAGACGTTTTTTTTAATAACAGTTTTTGAGCAACTTTCTCACACATCAAATTTACTTGAGAGCCAGAATCTAATATGGCTCGCATTTGGTGATATTTGCCAAACTTGTCCGCTACCATTACTACTGCTGTTGCCAAAAAAACCTCGTTTTCAGTCATTACGTTCATAACTGATGACTGAGCTGTCTCCTGTGTTGACGTAGATGGCCCATTTTTGCATCTTTGTTCATTTGGCTCCAAGATATAATCTTTATGTAAAAGTTGATGATGAGATAAATTACATTTCGAGCATTTAACAGTAGATCATTCTTTTTGAAGGTGTCCCCTTTTCAAACATGTAAAACATACCTTTATTCTCCGTGCTACGAAAAAGCGTTCTTTTAAAGAAAGCTTTCTAAACTTGCTACAATCTGCAATCTCGTGGCCACTGCCATTGCAGACTTCACATAAAGGTTTTGTAACTGCAAGAGAGGTTGAGTAGTTGCGGTTATTTCTATACTCTTTTTGATAGTTTACAGCCTTTGAATTCACTTGATTAACTTTATGTTCCCTTGCCTCAAGGTTCTCACATCGCCTCGTCAAAACTGCTGAACATTCATTCCAAGTTGACAGCTTCCTGTAATCCACTGATTCTTCCCATTTGACCTGCGAATCTTCGTCCACTCTTTCCATCACCAAATGAATTAACATGGCATTCGCTATATCTTTGTAATCACCTAATGATAGCATTGCATTCAAATGTGCATTCGCTGCATTTAATACATTTCTTAAATGAACTGCAGATGGTTTTGTTAATTTTGGGACAGCAAAGAGGGCTGTAATATGTTCCTCGAACATCAACGCCTTTTTATCGAAGCATTCCTTCAATCGATCGAGTGCTTTGGGGTAATTGTCCTCTGTGACATCAAAATCGTCAATAGCTGCCAGCGGCTTAGAGCCCAAGTGCTCTTTAAGTATCAAAAATCGTTCGCAGTCATCAAGCATTTCATCCTGGTTGATTAATTTATTAAACAAGGCTATAAATTTCGGAAATTCGCTATACTTCCCTTCAAATTTCGGTAATTTTACTTCCCGATGACTTCTTGGGCCCGGCAATAACGATGTTGTATTCGTTGCATTGACATCTACCAGTGATAGCTTTCTTTTTTTTAGTAAACTCATTATTTTTGCTTTCGTGGCCACAAATGCATCTTCAACTTCTGCTGTAATTGCTTCGCTTGAAGAAGTATCTGCACCTTGGTTTAGTTTGTCGATATCTGCTTGCACACTCAGAAACTGTTTGAAGTAATTTTCTGTCAAACTAAGCCTGCAGTTAAGTTCCTCTGTTGACAAACTTGACCCTTTTTTCAAAATCATTGATTTTATGCGAGTGATGCTGCCTTTGGTGCTGCCTCTCAACGCCTTCAATTCCGCCAGTTTCTTAGACCTTTTCTGCACGCCTTCTTGCTCCCCGTCGCTGAGTTCGTGAATATCTGAGTCTAACATTTTGCAATTATATTTTTTTTTCTGGATCACTATCCCTTTTCTGGATCACTATCCCTTTTATGGATCACTATCCCTTTTATGGATCACTATCCCGGGTTTCGGCACCAATGTTTTATTCAGTTAGTTTACTGATAACTTTTCTTCACGACTACTTTATTATTTCTCAAAAACACATGTCGTCTTTTCGCGTGTGCTGAAAGGCGACGACACAATACAAAAATGACAAATAAATTAAAGGCCATTAACACAAAAAATTATAAATTATAAAAAAAAATTAAATTATTATATTAACACAAAAAATTATAAATTGATCAATATCCCGTGAATAACCATAAAAAATAGCAAATTTTCTACGTAATAAATATTAATATTTACATTTTTATACATATTTATTAACACATGTTTATTAATAACTATCTTAAAATTAATTCACTTAAACTATGTATTTTGAACAAAATAAATAAATAAAGTAAGTAGTTACGGTAATAAATAAATTATAAATAAATGTTATTAAGGCTGTATTAGGGCAAATTTGTAATATAAGGTTATATAACAATTTATGCCTTAGTCGATTTCACTTTCTCTACCATACAAAGGAATTGCTTACGAAGTAATATAAGCAGAATAAAGCCCAGCAATTCAATTCGATGAAGTCTGCAGGCCCCAATAAACCAACTCGGTAAATTATGGTTAAGTAAACTAAAATTTCCTAGGGTTTTTTTGCACTGCGCTTATGTTAAAAGTTTTTAAAATTATTTATTTTTTTATTATACATCTTATAAAAAGTTACCAATGGTAATACCTAATTTACCTAATTTACCATACTCGAAATTCTGGTAAATACCAACATTCACTGCCATGCGGACATAATTTACTATTTTCCTCAATTTACTTTCAATTACTCGAACTCGCACACCGTCAATTACATACAATTATCTTATTTTAGCTAATACTAATATAACATACATATAACTGTTATTATACCTGATTAAAACAAAAAATTGAAATTGGTTGCATTTGCTTCAAATGTTCCTAAAATAAGATCAAAAAATATTCATATTCTTCCAAATAAAAGTACATATGTTTATAAATATACATTTATACACATACATATATATATGTAGATCAGTAAACTTCCAAACAAGTAGGGATGTTTCTCTTATTTGCATTATGAAGTGATATTAAATGCATGAAATTTTTACGTACTGCTTGCTGGTACCAAGCATTAATTGCAAAAACAAATAATTACACCAAAAACTAATTTGACTGTTTTCTTGAACTACCTGCATTCGTAACAAGCAAATCTGTTTTTTGTTTTCATTTTTGTCCTTCATTCATCAATAGTAAAATTTTAAGAAAGAACAAGCATAAGCGCGACTGATCTAGCAGCAGCGCAGAAAGAAGAAATATCTTCACTCCGCCCTCCCGTGCCTGTTGCTGAAAATTTAAAAATTGAGTCATTGTGACTCTATAATATTTTTACTCAATGATATAAGTGAGAAAATTTGGAATAAAAAAAACTTAAATTTAATTCTATAGTAAATAAATAAAAATTGCATAATTTATTAGAATCACCGAGCGAAAGTGAAACTGACTCTTACATTCCCTTTTTAAACACTAGTTCAAGTGTATTAAGCTCAGGGGATGAAGTGCATCAGCATGGATATAGTGGAAATTTTGTGGAAACGATCAATAATTTTTCCGTTGAAGATTTTAGGAAAAACTTTAGACTTCAAAGATGTGCTACTAATCGAAAGAACTAGTGTTTAGCTCATATCAATTGAACACCAATTCATAAAATACTATTTATAAAATACGCACTTGCTAATATGGCAAAAGAGGAAGCTATGAAAAAATTTCCGTTCGTAATTCGTTGCATAGACAACACACATATTAAAATAAATGCACCACACCATAGAAAGGAAGCTTATTTCAAAAGGAAGCATAACTAAAGTTTGATCTTGCAGCCAGTTTGCGATGAAAGTGGTCTTTTTATAGACGTGTATGTTGGAGAGCCTGGTTTCTTACATGACAGCAGAGTTTTACGTAGATAACAACGGTATAGTTCAGCATCATTTTTAAAGAAATTTCCCAGAGGTTCTTTCCTTTCAGGAGAATCTGCATGAAATCATTCGTAGGCAAGGATTGTCATAGAAGACACTTTTGATTGTATACCAAGGTTTCGTCGACTGTTATATTTTATGGAACAACAAAAAACACTCAATAAGAAATTTAATTATGTGGGCATGCATATTGCATAATATATAATGTACACAGAATGATGCAGTTCATAATGAATTCATTCAGAATAAGTATACTGGATAACAGGCCGAATTTACTTAAGCGATAATTGATACTGTTGACATAACGAATCATGGTTAGCATCGAATAATTTCATATTGATTCAATTACAAATGAGTTGTAAAGATCTGTAAAACAAAGTACATTCTACAAGTAAATTATTTATTGTTCTGTTTTAATTAAATAAAAGAATTCAACTTATACATTTCATATTATTTGATTTTAATAAATGATCAAACAACACTTTTTCAATCATAATAAAACGAGTATTTAAAGTATTAATTTTAATTATAATAATAATTAAAACATTACTTGTATTATAATAATAATGACATATTAAATAATTAAATATATAAAATAGATTTGTTTATATTTTTACTGCACCGTTGCATCGCATTGCCAACCACATTTGCATTAAAATACATTCCTTTTATTTTTTACATACATTCCATATTGAATCAGATTGTGAACCAGATCAATTGCTGGTTCACCCCATTGTTTTTGTTTTTCATGTAAAATTAAGCTGATTGAGCATGTTTGCTGAGACACAGCTAATACGTATGCTACAAAGTTTTTACATCTAGAAGTAATGTCACATTTTGGATTATGTAAAAACTATATAATTTTAGGTTTCAATTGTCAAAATAATTCTAAATAAAAAATTTTAAGGGCTCCCTTGATGTATCTGAAATTTTTTCAACCAAATTAAAAACAAGTTGTTTTATTTGACTGTATGTGCCTTTTGCAAGCAGTAACTTAAAAATATTTAATTGCGGACACAACAAACGACCAGAAACTGAAACGGTAGAACATGAACAAGATAGGTAAAACAAAACGAAAAATTTTAAAATAATTATTTTCAACTGTCTAAAACAGTATTTATTCACAACAGTCTAATTATGTATTCACAACATAATTCCTAGTATTCATTAGAAGTATTAATATATGAATACTGAACTCTTCAACACCTCTGCTACACATATAATGTATTTCAAAATTTCATGTACATCTTACTTAACAAATACGGATTTAAATTATGTTTAAGTTTTTCTTTCTAAACATAGATTAAGTATGTTTAAATATGTTTATGATTATTAAGTATACAAACCAGCAATTTGTCCATCTACATGTTCTTCAGTGTTTGCTAGCTGCATGTTCATATAACCATCAACGGAAACTAAGTATCCCTTATATTCATGTCCCCATTTCAATTTAATAATTACAGCCTTACCAGTTAATCCATTTAAAAATGGTTTTGGATTTATAGGCATAGCAGCAGACATGTTTTTATATCTTAACAACCACAAACTATATATTTCAAAATATATTTCAGCACTTACTTTGAGCCGCAATTTAAGAGCAAACCATAACTGAAAGAAGATTCAAAACCCTGTTTACACTAGCAAGCAATGAAGTACATTTTCTACGTTCGCTACAACTACGATAACTAAAGGCTTATATGGCGTTTACATTGGCCGAAAATGGCTCATTTTGAATGAGCTATTTGAAAGTGTTTACACTCGTTCTATTTCATTTGTTTTCATTTCAACAGCTGATTTTTCAACTTGCATGTTGATTTGATTTTTGGCCTGTGCCAAAAAAATGTTGCATGAAGGTTAAATATGCCTTCAAACCTTACATTAGAAACTTAAAACATATTTTTAACTTCGATTAATTGCTTTTTGGGAAGTAAAAGTTCTAAGAAGCAGTGCATCGTTTTCAAGAAAATGCAACCACCAAACATTTGTTTACCTTTTTTTGTAAATATGTTAAAAACAGCTTTTTCAAACTGTCAAAATGCCATGAAGAGCTTTCATTTAGGGTATGTTCAAAGGATTCCTTTGCATTTGGAACGTATGTGGAATGCATTCGAACGTCATTCATACAGAATGTGAGAAAATTGCTCATTTTTGTGCTTGAAATTTTATATGCAAGAATGAGCCATTCGATACTCAATTTCGATTTTTGACCAAAATGAGCCATTTTCGGCCAATGTAAACGCCGTATTAGTTAGGTAACGCAAGAAATTAAGGAAGAACGAAATGAAAATTTCGCACTACTTTAAGGCTTCGTTAGTCGGTAAGTAAGCAGCTGATTTTATTTACATTTGAACATGTAACCAAAATATTTTCAATGTGCACTTAAAATAATTACAAAATTATTTTATTTGATATAGAAGACAAATATTGTTAGTGGCATTACGTATGTTTAAACTGAAAAACCGAGAAAAACACTCCGGGAGTGCAGGCAGAAGTGAAAACTTGAACTTATGGCGCGTTAGGCACTTTTTTGGGTGAGCATTTTTAGGTGCGCTCGCGACATGAGAAATTGTACATAAAAAATCAAGTTTATCCAAGCAATGTGGATAATAAGTATAATAATATAGAAACTATATTCGAAGGAAGTGGTTTTATTTAAATGAGTAAATATTAGTAAATAGTAAATACAAAATTTATCAGTTCTCATCCATAATTTCAACAACTCTTACATCATCATTATCAGCATTTTCATCATTATTATCAGGATTTTCATCAAATTCTAAAACTGATACAATAGGTCTATGGTAACTAAAGTATGAAATAAACAATTTTGATTTAAATCTATTTATATATCTTGTGAATACTGCATCAATAGTAGTTTTGTATTTTGTTGTGCTAAGATTGCGATCATTGGACATCGTTAAATCAAATTCTTGATATAAAAATTCAATTAATGATTGATTTTTGACATCTGCAAAGTTTATGTTGAAATCTCCACTCAAAATCATAGTATAATGATCAAATCTTCTATTAATTTTCATCATAAATATTGCGGAAGCAGCTTTAGAATAAATGAATAAATTTGAATACAAGAACTCTCGTATTGCTTGTAAAGACTGTTTTGGTGAAATATAAACGGCAGCCATTATTATTGTTTGTCCATTAGAATGGCATTGGGAAATACATATATCACCAATATTCGAAACATTAGTGCTAAACATACTGGTATATCTCGCATGCACTTCCATATGATCTGTAGAAAATGTGGCCATAGTATCATTGGACCGATGATAAATAGCCACCCCACCTGCTGGACGATTGTCTCTTTTGAAACTTGCTATAAAGTTGAAATATAAAGTGATGACGAGCAGCAGTTGTAATAATGTATACAAAATATAACACTATAGTATACAAAAGCACTACAACAATGTTTTTATTAATTCTATTAACACTTTAGATTTGTTTTTTTTTGTTTTTTTAACACAATACCATAGCAGCAACACAAGTCAAATGAAATATTTAAATCAGGGTTTGAAAAATGATGATGATGAAATCAGCAAAAAAATGATAGCGAGATGAAAGCAGAGCAGATCATTTTTTTTTTTTCATGTGCAACGGCTCCCGCCGTTGTTGTTTAACACACACACAAAAACAGACATACTAATGCAGACACACAATGCAGACATACAATGCAGACACACTAAATTTGACTCAACTAAATTTGATGTGCTCTGCTCTGCTATGGCTCTCGTCAAAGTGAGAGCGATAGCAGTAGCATAGCAATAATCTGTCGCGAGGGCACGAACGAATGCCCATGCAAAGACTGCGTATAGCATGCAGCGCTCTCGCATACCTATACACTCTGAATACACATATAGGTATGTAATCTCGTCTGTCGCGAGAGCACGAACGAATGCCCATGCAAAGAGCGCGTATAGTATACATATATTATACAAATACCCGCGGAGTATATCTGTGTAAAATCTCATCTGTCAGATCGGCTGAAAATGCTCACCCAAAAAGTGCCTAACGCGCCATAAGAAGTTTTCACTTCAAAAAAAAACTATTTACTATATCTGTATGCAAAATATTTTTATTTTCTATTATGTTAATTATATTGTAAAATAATGAATCAACAACTTTAAACATCAAAAGCTCCAACCAGTAGTTGTTTCTTCGCAAGTGCAGTGAATTTCTTATGAATTCTTTATGAATATTAACTTTTATATCGAGCGTTAATTTTTTGTATATTTCTGTATGTACATATTTCTGCAATTTCGCTTCTGCCTTCATCACGAGAATTCTTAATATTAAAAACATCTATGCAATTTGCACACTATTTATACTTATAAAACAGGTGTTATAAATAATCTTAATTAGTATGGTTTTTTGTTTTTGCATTTTACGGTGCTAGTTAAAAATCGAAATCATTCTTTCAATAAAACATAGCAGAATCAGTGAAGACATTTATCCCGAATTCCGTCAGAAAAATGCTTTTAAAGATTCATGCAAAAGTCTTTGCACTGAACATCCTACATTTACGCTCCCATATCGGAATCCACAGAAAAAGAAAGCAACGAGTTCTACGCAGAAATATCCGAACTACTGAAACATACGAAGTCCCATGAATTTAATCTTGTTGAATATTTGTTTATATTATGTTATATTATGAATATTTTGTTGTCATTAATTTTGTATGAATAATTTGTTATTTTTATTTGTATTGTAATAATTGTGTTAAATATATTTGGTGTAGAAAATAACGTTGTGAATGCAATGCCCAAAATACGTCATACGCTTCTGTTGGCACATGAAAACAAAAGCGTCAAATTTCGTCTGCAAGAAAATGCACTCTTGCAGTTTGCAATAAGTTCATTGTTTGGCATGCATGGTCAAGGTTATTTTAGTTAATTTATTTGTTGTAAATTAATTATCAATTTTAAATAAAAGGCACAATTGAATTTTTGACAATTCAATTGATGCGAAGCCACATTCGTTATCGATTCTTTTTTGTTTGTTCTAATAGCTTGTAGATTTGGTTCAAGTGCTAAATTTACACCATATAAGCACCTGACTACTGGATTCAAGTCTTCAGTAATCAGTATAATTTAGGACAATCTTCAAATCACTGGGTTCAAGTGCTCAGTGGTTCTCGTGTTCAAATAAGTCAACATAAGTACTGGATTTAAGAGTTCAGTACTTGCAAACAGTTGATTTCAACCTTTGATTCAGCGTGTGATCATACATTTTGGTGTGATCGTACAAATCTCATTATTAGAGAAATTAAATTTCAAAGTAAGATCAGGTGCGGCGGAAGGAATAGTTGGTGAGTATGATCTTGGAATAAATAACGATAGGGGCGACAAACTCATTCAATTCTATCACCGAACAAATGATTTTGCCTACATCCGAGGAGACTCTACACTTAGACGTTGAAATAACTGCAAAATCTCACATCACACCAAAATATCTCTAATGAAATTAACAGCAAACTTGCCAACATAGATCACCAAAACACAAACTATTTGGAGATTTGTAATCAAACTACAGAAATCCTTGCAATTGTACCAAATAATCTGCCAAATAAAACTACTTGGAGATTTGTAATCAAACTGCAGAAATCCTTGCAATTGTACCAAACAACCTGCCAGATAAAAAACATCAAGCTAAAGCTTGATGACTGAAGAGACTTTAGAACTAATGGATGACAGAGGATCCTATAAGAACAAATAATATAACGAATACAGAGTTTTCCAAAGAACAATCCAATCTAAAATTAGACAAGCAAAGACCAACTGAACATATGTTAGTAAAATAGAAAGACTCCAAAATTTACACAATGACTTCAATTTATAAGAAGTGAAATATCTGGAAGCAATTTATCAATAAGTTATTTGAAGATAATACTAAGAACACCACCATTAACGATCACAATCAAGAACTATGGTCAGGTCCTGTAATAACCAAAGGTAAGATCCAAAAAGCCATCAAATCATATAAAAACAAAAAAGCAATTGGTTTAGATGAAATACTAATAGAAATGATCAAACTTTTGGACAACAACCTAGATGTGCAAGAAAAAAATCTTGTATGGTATTTAATGACAGTGGTGTATATCCTCAAAATTGGCTAAAAACCGCATTCATTGCAATAACCAAATTCATCAACGCTAGAAAATGCAGTGAATATGGACTTATAAGTTTGATGAGTCATATATTAAAAATATTCCTAAAAATAATATATATCAGATTATTCAAGAAATGTGAAGAAATTATGGGCAACACACAGTTTGGTTTTAAAGAAGCAATGGAAACACGACAGGATTTCTTCAGCCTCCAAGTTTAGTACAAAATTAAAAGATGTTCAGAAAGACATTGTTGGAAGTTTAACTTGTTATGCAAAGATTTAAATGCACAACACTTTAATCAAAAAATGAAACTAATTTATACAAATTTTATATACAAATTTTATATGTTCTCAGTATGTTTTTGCTCATTACAGTTACTCATAAATTTATTTATAATAATCAAAGTAAAACAAATGTGTATGTAATTTTAACTTAATTTCTCAATATCTTACATTGGATGTTTAATGTTTTATTGGTATAATCAAGTAAAATAAATATACTTATATA